TATTTCAAGTTGTGAAATTTCAGCAGCTCCTTTAACAGATCATTGTTCAGTTACCTTGTTTCTCTCTCTGAATATATCCAAACTACCTTCAAACGTAACTTGGAAGTTTAATAGTAATCTACTGAATAATAAAACCTTCTGTTCAGAAGTCCTGAACCTTATTGAAGATATTTCAGTAATGGATCTGTCGCCCTTAAATAAGTGGGAATGGTTTAAATTTAGTGTTAGGACAGCAGCAATAAAGGCAGGCAAAATTGCTTCTAAGCTGAGGAGACAGAAACATTCCCAACTTATAAGCAATATAAATTCTCTATGTTCAAAATCAGTTTTATCATCCGAAGAGCTGAGTCAGCTTGATAGTTTCAAATCTCAACTTGATGATGTTTTTTTAGATAAAGCAAAGGGGGCTTTCATTCGCTCTAGGGCTCGATGGATTGAAGACGGTGAAAAAAACTCTTCAGATTTTTTTAATCAGAATCCAATTGCCAATCTTTTTTTGATGAAATCCAGGAATCTGATGAAAAAATTAACCTTGATTTTAAAAAACTTATGGAAGATGACTTAGGAATCGAAGAGCTTGACGTAGCAATACAACAAATGGCAAAAGGGAAATCTCCAGGAATTGATGGGTTAACCACTGAATTTTATACTTTCTTTTGGAAAGATTTACGAAAACTTTTATTTGAGGCCCTGCTGGAATGTATTTCAAACAATAATCTCTCTCCCACCATGAAACGAGGTCTGATTACTCTGATCCCCAAAGCTAAAAAAGACCCTTTATCTTTAAACAATTGGAGACCCATCACTCTTTTATGTATAGATTATAAACTTTTAGCTCTTGTTTATGCCAATCGCTTGAACAGTGGATTAGGAACAATTATTAATGAATGCCAATCAGCTTTTTTAACGGGAAGAAATATCCATCATCACACTAGACTGATTTTTGATATGATTGATTATCGTAGCTTTATTGATGATGAGAGTTTTATTTTATTCCTGGATTTCTTCAAGGCTTTTGACTCACTGGAACACTGCTTTATAATAAAAATCTTAAAATATTTTGGCTTTGGGGAAAAATTTTGTAGTATAATTAGATTAATTTATACTGATATAAGTAGCTCTGTTTCCCTGGGAACAAGTTTGACCCCTAGTTTCTCTATGTCAAGGGGAATCAGGCAGGGCTGCCCAATTTCACCTAAATTATTTATATTAACAACTCAAATGCTAACCTTACTAAATATGAAAAATTCTAATTTACATGGGATCAAAATTTTTGATAAGGAATTCAAGATTAGTCAATTTGCTGACGATACAACAATTTTCCTAAGAGATAAAACTATGGTAGATGTTGCACTAAAATCTATTTCAATGTTTTCTAGTGCATCTGGTTTGTCTCTCAATATTGATAAATGTGAACTTTTGCCAATCCATTCTAGCTCTGAGACGTCTGTTGCCTCCATTACAGTTAAGTCTGAGGTTAAATATCTGGGAATGCTGATTTCAAAGGACATTATTAGAAGAGAGGAGGAAAAATGTTTTCCTTGGATGTTGCTTGTGGATGGTATGAAGAGATCCTTGAGTCATTGGTTAACTAGAGATCTGACTATTTTTGGACGAGCACTTCTATCCAAAGCTGAAGGAGTGTCCAAATTAATTTACCCGTGCCATTCTGCTTTTATCTCTGGCAAGAATATTAAGAAAGCCAATTCAATAATCTTTCAATTTATCTGGAGAAACAAAACTCACTATTTAAGACGATCTGATCTTATTAAAGATTATGATAAAGGAGGAATTAGAGCATTAGATTTTGAGGCTTTGATTGGCTCATTTAGAATAAACTGGCTGAAGACCTACAGGTGCTGGTCATAAAATTAGAATATCATGAAAAAGTAGATTGATTTCAGTAATTCCATTTAAAAAGTGAAACTTGTATATTATATTCATACATTACATACAAACTCATATATTTCAGATGTTTATTTTGTTTAATTTTGATGATTACAAATGACAACAAATGAAAATCTCAAATTCATCATATCAGAAAATTAGAATATTACTGAAGACCAATAAAAACAAAGGATTTATAGAAATGTTGGCCAACTGAAAAGTATGAACATGAAAAGTATGAGCATGTACAGCACTCAGTATTTAGTTGGGCCTCCTTTGGCCTGTATTACTGCAGCAATGCGGCGTGGCATGGAGTCGATCAGTCTGTGGCACTGCTCAGGTGTTATGATAGCCCAGGTTGCTCTAATAGTGGCTTTTAGCTCTTCTGAATTGTTGGGTCTGGTGTATTGCATCTTCTTCTTCACAATACCCCATAGATTTTCTATGGGGTTAAGGTCAGGAGAGTTTGCTGGCCAATTAAGAACAGGGATACCATGGTCCTTCAACCAGGTACTGGTAGCTTTGGCACTGTGTGCAGGTGCCAAGTCCTGTTGGAAAATGAAATCTGCATCTCCAAAAAGTTGGTCAGCTGCAGGAAGCATGAAGTGCTCTAAAACTTCCTGGTATGTGGCTGCGTTGACCCTGGACCTCAGAAAACACAATGGACCAACACCAGCAGATGACATGGCACCCCAAACCATCACTGACTGTGGAAACTTTACACTGGACTTCAAGCAACGTGGATGAAGTGCCTCTCTTCTTTTCCTCCAGACTCTGGGACCTTGATTTCCAAAGGAAATGCAAAATTTACTTTCATCAGAGAACATGACTTTGGACCACTCACCAGCAGTCCAGTCCTGTTTCTCTTTAGCCCAGGCAAGACGCTTCTGACGCTGTCTGTGGTTCAAGAGTGGCTTGACACAAGGAATGCGACAGCAGAAACCCATGTCTTTCATACGTCTGTGTGTGGTGGTTCTTGAAGCACTCACTCCAGCTGCAGTCCACTCTTTGTGAATCTCCCCCACATTTTTGAATGGGTTTTGTTTCACAATCCTCTCCAGGGTGCGATTATCTCTCTTGCTTGTACACTTTTTTCGACCACATCTTTTCCTTCCCTTCGCCTCTCTATTAATGTGCTTGGACACTGAGCTCTGTGAACAGCCAGCCTCTTTAGCGATGACCTTTTGTGTCTTGCCCTCCTTGTGCAAGGTGTCGATGGTCGTCTTTTGGACAACTGTCAAGTCAGCAGTCTTCCCCATGATTGTGTAGCCTATAGAACTAGACTGAAAGACCATTTAAAGGCTTTTGCAGGTGGTTTGAGTTAATTAGCTGATTAGAGTGTGGCACCAGGGGCCATCAATTTTGAACCTTTTCACAATATTCTAATTTTCTGATATGATGAATTTGAGATTTTCGTTTGTTGTCATTTGTAATCATCAAAATTAAACAAAATAAACATCTGAAATATATGAGTTTGTATGTAATGTATGAATATAATATACAAGTTTCACTTTTTAAATGGAATTACTGAAATCAATCTACTTTTTCATGATATTCTAATTTTATGACCAGCACCTGTATTTGTCTCATTCCAATTCAATGTGGTTTCATATCCCTAAATCTATATTTAATAAGCTTGGTGGCTTGGATTTCCTGCTTAAATGTGATTTTGAATTAACCAAGATTAATATTACACTGTCTAATTTTCACAGGCAAGTTTTACACTTTTGGAAAATGATATTTACCCACAACTTTACCCCACATGGATCTGTAGTGTGGAATAACAGGTCAATATTGATAAATAGAAAATCTATTTTTAAAACTGACTGGTATGAAAAAGGTATTTTATTTGTAACTGACTTAATGGATAGTAATGGTATGTTGTTAAATCATAGTGATTTCACTAACAAATTTGATCTGAACTGTTCTTGTAATGAATATTTAAAAGTATGTAGAGCTATCCCTGTAGCTCTGATCCATCTCATCCAAAACACTCTACGATACTCAAATGTCACTTCATCTTTACCCAAATTAAAAATTGGAGAATATAGTGTGACCGATTCAAAGTGCAACAATGTTCTGCTTGTGACTGCCTTCAAATCTAAATTATTTAATGACTACAATAATAATATCTTAATAAAAACAACCAATCTGTCTATAATTGAGAATGCGTTCTCCAAGTACGTAAAATGGCCAATTTCACCAAAGGTTAAAGAAACTCATTTCAAAATTTCTCACAATTTTTACCCAGTGGCTGAATTTTTGCACAAAAGATTTAAATTTGATTCAGCATGTTGTGCCTTTTGTGATGGTCCAGAAGAATCCCTTAATCATCTTTTTTTTTCCTGTCCCTTTTCTTTTAAACTATGGAGCGACGTTAAAAATTGGTTATCCCTTAAAATTGATGACATTCCTGAGATAACCATCACCCACATTTTATATTATATTGATGGCCTTGATAGTAAAATATCTGACATGGTTAATATTATCTTTTTACTTGTGAAATATCACATACACTGCTGTAAATGGAGAGGTTCTACTCCTTGTTTTGATTTTTTTCTTAACCAATTTAAACTTTATTTCACCTCACTGAAACTTTTGAAATCTGTTTCTGCAAGAAAAGTAACTGCCAGTATCTCAAGTTTTCTTTTGTTTTAAATCCCTGCTCTATTATTATTCATTTGCCTTACTTACTTATGTGCCTGTTTTTAGTCTTAGCCCCTTGCTTTTTTTTGTTTGTTTTTTTTTTTACTTTTTCTACCTATGTTGTATTGTTCTTGCACCTCATCGAGATTTTGTATACATTTTGTTCAATAAAAAAAAAAACAAAAAAAAAAAAAAACAGGGCGGCCGAGAAAACCTTTGTTCGACCTGAAATGACTCATTTAATCATCCAAAATGTTATGGAACACATTAATTAACTGAAAAATGTTGCATAGTGTGCCTTTAAAACCTGCAATGACCAACCATGATTCAGACTTTAGTCTACCTCTCTCTGCACTATAAGTTAGCTTTAGTTTAGCAGCTTGATCTCCTCTGATCAGTTTCCCCAGATGACCCTGAAATCCACAGTCTGCATCATCAGGGAAACATTTCCATCTCGTGTTTCTTACCTATCCGATGTAAGATGATCCGAGGGATCCTGGTGAAATCCAGCAGTCTGTACTGATCATCCATCTATCTTCCCTTCTCCTTGAAGCTGGATTGAAGATAATCTCGCAGCAAACTCTCACAGATTCAGCCCACAGATTAGCAGGCTCTCTACAATGACTCCACAAACAAGGAAAGCTAATGGTGCTAGATGCTATCTATCTGATAGCCATAGACCTAATATAAGGCCCCGTCCACACGAAGTCAAACCCTGGCCTAAACGCTCAAATTTTTCACCAAATCAGCCTCTCATCCATACGAAGCCGGCGTTTCGGGGTCTGAAAACGAGTGGGAAGATTTTTGAAACGCCGTTCTTCTTCTTCTTCTATTATGGCGGATCACAAGCAACTTTAAGGTGCATACCGCCACCTACTGTACATGAGTGTGTAGCAGCGTTACTTCACATCTATTAGATTCTATTTTTTAATTTTGTATTCTTAAGATACATAAACAATGCTGTCCTTAGTTTATGAATATCTGTTATGTTTCCTTCATTTCCTAATATTCCTTTAAGATTCCATTCATGCCCTATACTTCTAACTATTCTCTTTAATTCTTCCCTTTCGTGTTCATATAACTTAGTTCATCAGTATGTGTTCTACATTTTCTTTTTCACCACATTTCTCACATTTATCACTATTTTTCCTCCCTATTAAATAAAGCATGTAATTTAAGTAGGTATGACCTATTCTTAATCTACTAACTATTATTTCTTCTCTTCTGTTTCTTTCATTAATGCTTCGAATTCGAACTGACTTTTGCACTTCATATAATCTTCTTCCTTTCCTATCTTCGTTCCATATTTTAAGCCATTCCTCAATTTCTTTACTTTTAATAAGTGATTTCCCTTCCCCTTTTCCAAAAGGAATTGGACCGAATTTTTATTTTACACGCATGCGTTATAGCGTCACCTCTAAACACGCATGCGTGAGACAGTATCACAATCGTTGCCTGTTTTCGCCTATTTTTGCTTTGGCACCACAGCGCCACTTACAGGCCTGGCATACATTTTGCAGCGTTTTCATGAATTCGTGTGGACGATCACATTTATTTTACGTCTACGTCTTTACGACAAACATTTTGGAAAATATTAGCGTTTAGTGTTCGTTTTGTACGACGGAGTATTAGGGCCACACATGAAGAGAAAAAATATTTTTGCCATGACGAGATTAAACTCGACATGTCGACTTTAAAGTCGACATGTCGACTTTAAAGTCGACATGTCGACATTAAACTCAACATTTCGAGAATAAAGTTGAAATTTCATGTTGAGTTTAATCTAGTCTAGAACATACATACAGGTCTGTATGTATGTAGACAATACATAGATGTCCAGTACCTTGTTTGGGTGCCTTGACCCTTTTATTTCTACTGTGTATTTATGCTAACTTTAGTACAGCTCAGATCTCTGATGGGTAACTTTTTCTTTTTTATAGTTTCTTCTCTGACAGTCAATCTCACACATCTGTGACTCAGCGCCTGTGTCTTACCTTAATACCTTTCCTGTGATAATGCCCCTCTAGAAGTAGTGTTATCATTCTTCTATCTCCTATTAAGTGAGATCACATTGTACGATGTATTTCTAATATGAACTGTTTCACATGAAACACTTACTCTACATACTATTCTCACCAAACTGTGATAACTGTGATTAAATTCAGTGTAAACAAATGCCACATGTTGCCACCCCTCAAAAATTCCTGCCCCCCTTTCGCCACCCCATAAATATTTTTCTAGATCCGCCCCTGTGCCCGCACTGACGCGGCTCAGGGATTACGTCACATGCAGCGTCGTACGCAGTGCCCTAGTGCCTGTAAATTTAATGGTCCAATTAAGGTAATTTAAAAAATCAGGACATTTCCTCACTTTCTAAAAAAAAAACCAGGACGTCCGGGACAGGACGTAAAATACGGATATGTCCCGGGAAATACAGATGTTTGGTCACCCTAGTTTACATGCAGTCAATGGTTGACGCACGTCAAGGCGCAGCAAAAGGTCCTGCAGCGCGTTTTGAGCAGCAGGCGCAGCGCGTCTGAGCAGCTGAAGCGACGCGCCGCAAACGTGCTGCTGCTTGAGATGAAAACATTGAACTTTTGCTGCTCGACACGCTGCATCAACCAATCAGAGACGCTGATCTGGGAGCTGCCAGGGAGAGAGACACATCGCTGATGATACAGAGCACTGTGATGACTCATCTGAAACAGTTTATTAATGTCTAAATTAACTTAAAATGCTGAAACCTGCCGACAAAGCGCGTTTGCTTTTATTATCCTGGTGCCTGCAGTTTGGATTATGTACATGAAAACCGCTTTCCAGCCGCCACGGCGAACCGCAAGGAGGCGACGGGGCCAGAGGCTGCTGTTGAATGGGAATACTACTGACAGTGCACCACCGGTATGTGGGGGTCTGAGCGGCTCAGACAGAAATAATATTGGAAGGCAGGATGGTAATCTGAATGAACTGACTGCACTGATTAAGTTTTCAGGTGGATTTTCCCACTTAAAAACATATTTAAACTACTTTATTCCCACTGATCACAGCAAATATAGCTGCAAGGCAGAGAAAGGATAGAGTAGCTCCGCCCAACGTCAGACCCACTTTTGCACCGTGCAGCTTTGCTGCTCTGGCTGCACGGTGACAACTGGTAGACAACTGGTACAAGCAGCAAAAATGAAGCAACAGACACGTCCGGTGTGAACGCAGCATAAGGAAGGAGTGACTTGTTTGTCTTTTATTCTGTTTCACTGTTGCTTTCTGTGCTGTGAACAAACAGTGTTTTAACAATTGGAGAGAGGTAACTTTAAACTGCGGGTTAAAAAACCCCAAAAAACCTCAGGTTTAATTGTGCAGCCGCTGCCAACTTTTACCATTTCTGCCAGGTTTTCCAACACTGCATTATCCATTTTGTGTGCAAGAGTTGTTTGTTTAACAGTGTTCTACACAAACAGACATATATACATACATCTAATAATCTAATATATATATATATATATATATATATATATATATATATATATATATATATATATATATATATATATATATATATATATAGGCTGGCCAGATCCACCCTCTTTTAGTAACAGTGTGAATAAACAGGGATAAATAGTTTTTTGATTGATAATTAATAGCTCTGCTGATAACATAGCCTAGGTCACTAAATTGGTATGGATACCTGGATTTTAACAGCTGGTCCAGGAACCATCCAGAGGTGAAAGGCATAAACCCTGGTAAGTAAGCAAATTAAAGCTACAATTATTGAACTAAGAACCTTAAACTGGTTTCACCTCCGATTTTGAATAAGTTAAATAATTAAATATAACTCCAGTTCTAGTTAATAATTTATTCATTATCTGCAGGATATCATTTTTGCACAACAGCATCTTCCAGCTTTTTCATCACCATCTAATTAATGCAAATAGAGTCAAAGTTACTAGAGAAACCTCAGGGCTCGATGTTAACCATTGCCCGATTGCCCGGGGCAAGTAGTTTATTTGTCGGGAGAATACAAATTTCATTGCATTTGCCCGCTAGATGGCGTGATTCAGCTCTTGGGGAATTCTGAATTCTGGAGAATTCTGCAGAGCAGCAGCTGGATGATGAATTTAATCTATACTATAATACACGCTAGATTAAAAATGATCAGTCAGGGATTAGGAAATAATAATAATAACTGTATGCAAACAGTGTAAATATTTCTATCATATGGCAGTCTTCTGTACAGTGGTCATACATTAAAAATGTTCATTAAATTTTTTCTCTTAGACATTGGAGTGGTGCATTAAATGTTATAGAGCTAAACATGTTAAATTGGTGAGTAGTAGTAGTGTAAGTGTTTTACCTCTCAAGTTTTTTTTAGATTTTTAACATTACAATTTATATTTTTCCAAGCACACAACAGTTTAAAGCAAAGTTTAGCTTGAAAAGAATGTGCAGGAAGGATGGAAAACATGTTAACACGGTAATGTAGGCTTGAGTTCATTATCTGACGCATGCAGATACACACCAGGAACCTGGAAACTTAAAAAATGCTGAAAGACAAAAAAATATTTAAAAAACAAACATGTTTCATTGATATCTATACAAAAATAAACATTAGGAACTATATTTATGAGACATTATACTGGGCAAGTAAAAATTGTTTCTGGGCAAATGAAATGTGAAAGCCACTTGCCCTTCGTAAAAATCCTTGACGTCAACCCCTGAACCTTATTGATTATACATTCACAGATATTTTGTAGCTACATTAACAAATATTTTAAGTATATAAGTATAAAAACTTTGTTCCTTTGTTAAGTAGAAATGTCGGCTATATTAACTTTACTGGAGTAATTCTTTTTTGGGCCTTTTTTTTTTACTTCTACTCTTTACATTATTTTGCCATTTTCTCTGCTTTCTCCTCCTTATCTGTCAAAAATAGACTCGTTACTTTAGTTTGATTTAAGCTCATTTTCATTATGGCCTTATAGTATATATATAAAAAAAATCAAAACCATCAAAATGATTTGTTTCATCCCTAAAATGTATTTCTTTGTCGTTGAACTCGGTGCTGCCCCAACTTGTTGTTTCCCTCGTACCAAAATAAAAAGTTTTCAAGATGATGTACAGTTAAATCTGACACTATTACCATTAGTTATAGAACTAAGAAAATGAAGTATAAGGAAGTTATCATCCAGAATTGTAGAAAATGCTCCTTTAATAGTTTGGCGCAAGGAAACTTCTATCCTTAACATTTTTTCCCACATTACTTTCACTTTTATAATTTAAGTAGTTTTAAAAATTTTACTTTTAGACTTTTACTAGTTGAAAGTCGTAAGGAAGCAGCTGTTCCAACCGTTGCTTTTCCAAATTCTCCCGAGTGGTGGACGACTTTACACGAGTGAATAAAGTGAATGTGATTGGTCGTTTATCAGGAAGATGAAGGATTGTTGTGGCGGAAGGTTCCTAAGCAAGTTTGGTTGTAGCCGGTTTGTCGGAAGCATCTTGCTAACCAGTTAGTAACTTAGTGCTAGTAGCAGAGATGGGGACTCGAGTTTGTGACTTGACTCGAGTCGCACTTAAGTCGCATATTTAATGACTTCAGACTCGACTTAGACTTGCATTTAAAGGACTTCAGACTTGACTGAGGCCCCGTCCACACGAAGACAAACCCTGGCCTAAACGCACAAATTTTTCACCAAACCAGCCTCTCATCCACACGAAGCCGGCGTTTCGGGGGTCTGTAAACAATCTTTTTTTTTTCAGCCTTCAGAGTGGGAAGATTTCGAAACGCCGTTTTCGCGTTTCCATCTTTACGCTCTAACCGCATAT